GATTTTGGCAAAGTATGCCCAGCTGCTGGACAGTCAGAAACTATTTTAACTCTCCTAAGGAACGTGATACTACAAAAAGAGAAGTTTAAAAGAGACTGCAGGTGGGCTTTAGGCTTGTTGAGCCAGTCTGGGTGCTGTTTCCTTTTCCTTCCACATTCTACCAGCCGTTCACGTTTGCATGTGACAAAATGCCAAAGGGGACAGCTATTTATAAGGTTGGAGAATCTTCTGGGCTGCTATGACAGATTTTTATCCTGTGTAGGAGATTTGCTACATGGAAATAATTAGCTGTACTGTATTCCCCACCCTGAGGGCAGCAATACCAACTACCTTTCCAATTCTCTGTCTTTACCCTATTTCAACCTTTCTCATTCATTCTGCATCAGTTTTCTAGGTAGCTTGTTAGACACAAACCTGGGAATCAACATTTGAATTTTGGGCTTTGATTACTCAACCCTGGGGGGTGTGTGGGAACCATTTTTCTCCTGACCACTATGCTTCTCTCCTCTTTTGAAATCTGTGATGAAGAGTAGCACTCATTAAAGTGGGAGGTAACTGCTTGCTGAGGGAAGTTCATGATTTACTAAAACAGGATACAAGGTAGGAATTTAATGGGAGAGAAGATCCAAAACAGTGCATCAAAGAAAGACTGCCAACTTACTGTTAGAAGGATGTTGGAGTACAGAAATTTAGGAAAGAGAACTGGAGTACTCTGGAAGAAGGCATAGCAATGCGCAGTCTCTTATAGGAGCGTTCAACACCATAACTTTTGCTTTGGGATCTTCATCTGCATGTACATCACACACAAAATTTCACTCTTTGTTAGATTTATATAGTAATCTACTTACATTCAAGGAAACATACCTAGTAGTCCTCCTTCATCTCTCCCTCATACAATCTCCGTAAGTAGACCAAGCTGAGAAATTGTAACTGGCCCAAAGTCATCAAGTGAGCTTTCATGGCTGAGGGTGGATTTGAACCTATGTCTCTCAGTTCCAAGTCTAGCACCTTCATCTGTACATGACACTTTGGGTAGATGAGCTTGAGCTTTAATACTTTTCCCAGCTCTTTTCTTGTTACCTTGTTATATATCTTAAATGTATTTAGGCCTATGAGCTGTCTGGCAATATCTGCCGTTTTTAATTATCTGTAGTTGTGAATAAAGTGATACTGGAAGAATAATAAACTTACAGGAGTTAAGACATTCCTTGGTCTAACAACATATCCTAGAACCTATTCTGAGGCCTGATACTTAACAAATTCTGCTGAGATCAAGCTCTATAGCTGATTTCTCTGGCACTGATATAAACTTTGCGAAAATATAAATTCTCCAGCTCAATATGGAATAGAACAAGGCAGAAGAGATATTTTTGTGGGTGGGAGAAAATTATCCAAATTTAGGTGGGAATCCAAATTGCACCACATGAATTGTTTACAGCTAAAGATATTATGGCACTCAAATGTATCTTTTGAGTCCTGTGAGCGATGTGAAATATCTATCCTCATGTGCTTCACTGCTAGGAGAAAGGATTTATCAGTGCCTTGTTATAGATGGATAATTGGTTTTGCTGGTGTTTTCTGGAACATGGGGATGCTCCATGTTCTGTACTATAATTGTGTTATATTCTAATCATCGGCAACTACCGTGTTTCCCCAAAAAGAAGACCCTGTCTTATATTTTTTTGAACCTCGAAATAAGCACTTGGCCTTATTTTCAGGGAGGTCTTATTATTTTGGGATGCGTGGAGCAAGACGGGGCTCCTCTTGCCATCTTACCTGATTTCTAGCTCTGTCTCCCAACCTTAAATAGAGGAAATGGCGGGGACTGGCTGCGCATGTATTTAAATATTTTCGGGAAGGGCTTATTGTAGCATGTGTGCTCAAAAGCCCAATTGGGCTTATTATCGGAGGAGGTCTTATTTTCAGGGAAACAGGGTAGTCGGGTAACATACTGATTATTACTTGAATAATAATCAGTAAAGCTATTGCATAAACTAAACTAAAAGTGTGAGCTACAGCAATGTAGCAATGTAGCTGTAGCTGAGTGGCGCAGCAGACTAATGCTACTATTAAAGGTATTATTTAGCTTCCAGCTGCCTGCAATTACTGCGAGTTCAATTCTCACCAGGCTCAAGGCTGACTCAGCCTTCCATCCTTTCTAAGGTAGGTAAAATGAGGACCCGGTTTGTGGGGGCAATAAGCTGATTTTGTATAAAATATACAAAAATATGAAGGCTATTGCTTAACGCCTTGTAAGCCGCCCTGAGTCTCCGGAGAAGGGTGGCATATAAATAAATAAATAAAATGTCATTTATAAACTCATTGACTTCAATGGGATAACAGAACAAGCATTGTCTGTTGCAGATCATCTTCTTAGCAAAAGCATACTCTTCAACTTGGGTGGGTCCCGAATCCTGTTGGTTTTTGGAAAAGTTTTTAAAACATGCCTTGTCCAAAGAATTTTGAGTATAGAATACAAACCCCCTCCCCACTTTTAATTGGATTTTTTATATAAGGTTTTGACCATTGCTCAAGCCCTGGGGTTATTGTAATTTGCATTGTTTTGTAACCTTCTTACTGTAAAAGGGCAGGCAAATCCTAAGAGTCTCTTGAGGATTAGAGTAATATATAAATTCTAGTAAATAGTTGTGCATAATCATATTTTGATTAGCCAAATTTCAGTATGCTTAATTTTGCTAAATCATGCCACAGACAAAATTAATCTATAGGGAAATGAGCTCCATTATTAGAGAGAGGAAGTGAGAAAAGAAAGATTGATGATGGTTTTTTCCAACAGGTGATGTTTTCCAACACCTGTTTTCCAACAGGTAATGCAGTAAAAGTGAATTTTTATGGTGTTATTGGACCCAGGCTATATATAACTTGTATATTAATGTAGGTGGTTTTGTATGTTGTTCCCAGTCAATATGCAATTTTAATAGCAATAACTTATTTTGAAAGGGCCTCCTGCCTAGATACCTGCACAATAAAAAGCAATAATTTATTTTGAAAGGGCCTCCTGCCTAGATACCTGCACAATAAAAGAGCTGTTCAATTATGCCGCAATGGTTTAGGTCAGGGGTGTCAAACTTACCCGTGGGCCCAATGTCTCACATGCTGACCATGCCCACCCCTAATTTAGCAAAGGGGGGGAAAGTTGCGATACATCACATGATGACGTGTCATCACGAGTTTGACACCCCTAGGTTAGGTTGTTAAGGGGAGCACAATTTCTATACTTTCTTTTTCAGGTCCACACAGCCAGTCTCTCTACTCACAGTGTCCACTTTACAAAATTACTCTTGAAGGGTCTGAGAATGTTCTTGCTCAGGGTTTTAGCATTGATGCCTGGAAATTTGGGAGGGGGTATTAGTGCTTGCATGCTACAAGAGGAAAGAAGACTCTTCCTCCTGATATTTTATTCCTGCACATACCCCTTCAGCTTTGCTTTTGTCTCACACTTGAGAGTCTTTTAATTAAAACCAGCTACAAAAGGCCTGACTAAGTGCTGCCCGCCAAGGAGAAAAAGAGGATCATTGCTATGGAAATCAATGGGAGAGGCTGAACTACCATTACATACTTGGCATCATCAATCTAGTGAAGCTGGGCTGGGGTAGAAAATCACATAACTACGAAATGTGACATATCTAATGTATTTCACATTTGTAGTCTATTTCTTACCAACAGTAAGAGTTCTCACAATTCATAGATTGGGCTTGCCCTATTCATAGAAAATAGGGATCCATAAGATATCCTAACCCAACCCAATATTATTTGAATTTAAGAACCTCAGATGTGTTCAGATGGCCTTTGTAAAATTATAGAAGAGGCTTGGGCACCAGAAGAGGTACTAACTCAATACAGCGTTCCTACTCTTGTGTTCTCTAGTTTTTTTGAAATTACAGCTGCTAGAATTCACCAGGCACCTCTGTGTTTACAGTGTCATGTGTTCACTTCATCCTCTAAGTGGTAATAAAGTCCAAGGCAAGCATAGACATCTGAGTTTGCTTTTCATTGTGCTTCATATATAAATTGGTGGAAATAAGTGGAGCCAAACAGGATATACATTCCCACAATATAATAGATCCACCACATCACACCAGGTATTCATAAACATTTATGCTGAATAATAAGTTGCTTCCAACTTTCAACTATTTTTATGCTCATGTTGACTGAAGTGGGTTTTCCCACATCTTCCTTCCATTTTACTTCATTTAGCAAGAGACGATGGAACTGAAGGAACTGGCATGGGAAAGAAGGGTCAAAGGAGTCAATTTCTTAACAAAGTTACCTACTTTGGATCCAGCTCAGTGTTTTAATTGCTTCTTTTTGTTTAATTGCACATACAGTTGAAGAAAAGGTGAATTACTCTCAAGCTGATAGCAATCCAAAATGAACAAGTTCTCCAATCATTTTATATCCAGCTCTACTGGTCAGTGATTTTATCCCAATAACAAAGGTTTCAGTGAAGAAATGGCCAATTAATATCTACAGTATAATTATATCTACCATGGGTTTAATTAGACTAAATATACATTTTGTTCTGAAAAAGATTCACAATACAGATAGTCCATGACTTACAACCATTTGTTTAATGACTACATCATCCTTGCGATTATGTGATCAAAACTCAGGCCTTGGAAACCTGCATGCACTCACAACAGTTGCAGTATTCTGGGGCGGGGTGAGGGGTGGGGGTGCCTCATGGTCACTATTTGCAACCTTCCCAGGGGGCTTCTGACAAGCAATGGCAAATGATAAAAGAGGAATCCAAATTTATTAACAAACCATGTGATTTGCCTGACAACAGAGGCTAAATAGGTTCTAAAATCAGGTGTGACTTACTTTGCAACTGCATTGCTTCATGACAGAAGTTCTAATCCCAAATGTGGTCATAAATCAAGGACTATTTGTGTAACGAGGGGAGTAAAACGTAGGAAGGAGGGTTGAACTTGAATAGCATATAGGAGGCAATACTCCAAGAATTCTGAAACCAAGGCAAAAGTTAATTTTGATTTTAATTAAATAGCTATTCTCCATGTATTTAATATTTTCCCATCATATAAAAAAACCAGTGTAGTGGTACAGTAGTTTTTGGAGTGGTTTTGGTAGCCATAGCTAAAGCTTTTGGAGCCTTTGGAATCTCTGATCTACATGGAAACTCTGGAAATGAAAGAAGGTAAACTAAAACAATGAATATTCACATTTTCTTGTTATTAAGATGTAATTATTATTACTACTGAACTATATTATAACATTTACATTACAACCATAACTATTATTATTGTCTTGCTTCAAAATCAACATTTCCCCAACACTTTGCTTTCTTTTTCCCCTCTTCATTCTAAGGCTTCAGAATTTGTATTTACAAGGAAAGAAATTATTGACTTTGCATATTTAAGTCGTTCTTAAATGTTAGCATCCTTGAATGAGCAGCAGCAGTGCAAATTCTTGTCCTGTTGATATGACAGTGTGAGGGTGACAATTCATCTTGTGTCTCCTTCTCAGTCAGGATGAGTTATTGTGTCCTCTACAAGGAGAGCAACGTCAACTCCAGAGAAGTTGCAAGTGGAAACAAGATGATTACAGAGGTCTTTCTCTCTCTCTCAGGCTAACTCATTCATCCCAAACTGTGGCACAGAAAATAGCAATCTGCTTAACAAGTTTGTTGTGCATGGATTGCTATGTGGGAAGCCTTTCACACTCGAAATATGTCACAAAAATATTGTGGAATGCTTTTAGACATGTGTCAAATTTAATGTACCACCAACTTTTCTGATTTTTGTAATAGACTTAATAGGTAGCTACAGAACAAAGATGATTCCTGAAGCTTTTCGTTATTATGGGGCTGTGGGGAGCTGCAGACAGTTTGATTGTATTGTTGTTGTGACTGTTGTTCTTATTAAACAGTAAACCCACCATGGATTGTTAGTTTGGAGGATGGTTCTTTTCAGCTGCTGTCTGGTTCAGTCATAGCATGCAAAACCTTAATCTAGATATGGGATAGAGGATTTCCAAGACTTTGAGGCTGTCATAAAAAACAACATCTCTCTCTCTCTCCCTCTCTGTCTCCTAAGGCTGCACCTTTTTCCTGTATTGCAAACTTAGGGTCTCTCCCAGCACCACAAGGTTTCTCAACGCCTTATTTCCAAGTTAGGCGATTTTAGCCAGCTGTCAAATGTACAGCGAACAAAAGGCTGGTGATAGCCACCAGTACTCACTGCTAAAAAACTAGGGGCAAAATACTTTCCCCAGAAAACCAGCACAATATCCTGGGGAGGCAACTTGGTGGCCCATCTGGGCTGGGGGCCAGGAGGCTGGTCTCCTTTCCCGGGTAACTTGAGGGTGAAAGTGAAGAAAAGCTGGTAGTGGCGATGGGAACAAACCTTGGTATTGTTCCTGCGCTTCTTCAAAGCTGGCCCATCGGCGCCCGCCGCCCAGTCGAGAGAAGAAGCTGCCTTTAAGCGCACCTTGACCTTGCTGGCGGGGGACGGATCCCTCCACTTGTCCAACACGTCTCCTGCCAGGGAGCGGCATTGAAAGAGCCGAGAGCCAGAGCGCGCTGAGGAAAGAGCCTGAAAAGCCAGCTTAGGGCCTCCCGCGGCGAGGAGCGAGGGATTAGGAGGGGCCTTTGGGGAAAGAGGTAGACTGGCAAGCGGGGAGGGAGGCAGGAAGAGTCACGCTAAGGCGGAGGTACAGGCTGGGTTTACCCCAGGAGCGGGTTTCTCTAAAACCCCTCGCGCTGGGGAGGCTCCAGATACACCGTCCTCTGGCGGAATTCTCTTGCAATTACGTGAGGAACACATCCGAGGAAAGGAGAGGACAAACACTCAGCCCTTTATAGGCCAGGCGGTTTGGGGGGGTGGGTGGGGACGTTAGCTAGTTGCTCCGGTACGGAGGGGAGCGGGATAGAAAGCAGCTGGCCGCCCCACTTGGGAGAAAAATATGTGATCCTCTTAACTATTGGTAGTGTATTTCCTTGCCATCTGGCAAATTGTGGGTTTGCTCCAAACGTTTGTATTCTTTCTTTCTTCCTAAAGGTTAAGGTAACTTGAACAGTAAAATAGCCGCTAAACATAGGATTATCGAGAAACAACCAGAAGATGGTTTTGATTAAATGGAGGGAATGCTTGAACTTAATCTGCCAAACTGTTAGAAGAATTTTCTTGGTCCAATTTCCTGAGCCAGGTCATGAATAAACACAAATAGTAACTGCTGGAAGTAGTTTAGTCATTCAACCACACACAATGGTTAAAGGTATTCTACATTGTTAGGGGTCCACCAGTAGAGTGGTAATTTGACCAGTATACCAATATATAGTATACCAGTATAATGACAAGTGGGCTTTGATGTTTAGATGTGCAGACTGATGTGGTCCTATCCTGGGCTTTGAACTTGAGATGCATGTTGAATGTGTGTAGGGATACTCCCAATTTCACATTGACTTTGTGTGTGTGTGTGCAATTTAGTATTGACTATCTATAACTAACTGGATAAATCCACATAGTTCTCTTGGCAATATTTTCTAAAGTGGCTTGCCATTGCCTTTTTCCTAGAGCTGAGAGTGAATGATTGACCAAAGTCAGTCAGCCATTTCTTGCCTAAAGCAGGATTAGAACTCAGTGTCTGTTAATTTTTAGCCTGGTGCCTTTAACCACTGTACTAAACAAGTTGATTTTTTATGCCCCTCAAATGTTCTAATTAGATCAATAAAATTGGTGCAACCATTTTGTTTAAATCCTCAGACATCTGTACAATACAGTATGTCTTTAATATCAACTAAAACCAGTCACTGAGGTTTGACTGGAATTGCTTTTTAAAACATTTTGACTATATTTAAAATGAAAAAAATATAATAAAATTTACATGTATCATACTGTATGAATATAAATCTAGGAGAGTGCATAACAATAATAAACAAGATTAACTGCTTTTTAAATTAACGGTAACATTATTATGGCTTGGGTCTAGTTGCTAACGCTTGGTTTTAATTGGCACACCCTGCTAGAGTTTTTTTCTATACAAATTCAGACATAAAATAGGCCTTTTAACTTAAAAAGACTTAACTCAGTTAAAAACTAAAACATGTCATATTGATTATAATGGGTCTATTCTAAATATGAATAAATGTAGATCCAAATGTACATATGGTACTAAAGTATATAACTGGTTATTTGAGGATGTTTTGCTGCTGACTGGTCTGAATTGTGCAACCCACACGTCTCAATGAACCTTTAACATTGTAATATCTCCTCCTGTCTGTTAGATCTAAAGCACAAAACATATACTCATATACTGTACCTTGATACTCAACTGCTTTGAAATGCATTGAATTTGGGACTCAGTGCATTTTGATGCGAAAATTTTGTCCTGGTGTTCATAGTTTGGTACTCAACACACAATCTAGAACTTGTCGGTGTCAGCTGCCTTGTGACTCGCTACATTATTCTTTATGGGGAAAATTTGTTTAGTACTGATCATTTTTGGTAGTCACCCCACCTCCCGGAACCAATTAACAATGAGTACTGAGGTACCACTATATAACTAGGTCACTTTGTAAAGGAAGAGGCCTCACATAACTTCCTCTAATCTTGATTGATAACCAGACAATGGTGGGGAGGCATCAATATATCAAGGGTCTTCTTTTCATTAGTTAGATGGCTAAGGATGATAATGGTTTGGGAATTGTTTGGCAATAATGACCCGAGGACACCAACCTTTAGCAGGGGGTCACATAATAGAGCATTGTGCTTTCCAGCATTTCTACAAGTCCAATTTCTTTTGTTCTAAAGGACTTGTGTGGAGCTGTGTGATCATTGTCCCACAGGTTTTTATAGGACATGATGGATGGAGGAAAGAGATGCTGATTCACAGTTGCTTTGGTACAATTTTACACTAATACTGACTCTCCTATGTTATGTTCCCTCCCACATTATTTGTAAAAATCATTTACATGATAAAAATTGAATGGCACAAAATTAAGTTCTTCCAAAATAATACTTTAGGCATCATGAAATTGCACAAGGCCGCTGCTTTGGCTTAACTGTAACAGTAACAGCTGCTCGGCACCAGCTTTTTCCCAGGACAGTAGACAAGCAGTTTTCTTGCAGCCTTGTAGCTCTTGTCCTCTAACAGGATCCTGTTAGAGACCTATGAGGCCTGACCCCAGAGCCTCCTGCAATGTTACTGGCCTGCTCTGTACTGAGAAATGGCTCATGATATGCTCGTTTGATCCTCCTTCTTTTCTAAGGAAAAGTGATTCAGTAATATCTGTGCACTGTTGTTAATAAGCAATTCATTTTTAAAATTAATAAGGTTAAATATGTTTAGAACACATCCAGAAAAGGAAAATATGGGAAAATAATGAAAGAGGGATGTCTATCTTGATGATTTGAGCTCAAATCACATGGCATCATTCAGCAGGCAGTTCTTTCAGCCAGCCCCCAGAGATGAGAGGGAGCTGAAATCCAAGCAAAGAATGGAGAAACAGCACAATAAATTAAGTAGTGTGGGGTGCTGCAGTTTGGTGGTGGAGGCACTGGGAGGTCCAGCACAGGCCCTGCATGAGTGCCTATCCCTTTAAGGCACAGGTGTCAAACTCGATCGCATCATGTCACGTATCGTGACTTTTTTGCCTTTGTGGAGCCGGGTTGGGCGTCGCCTGTGCGTGATGCATCTGGCCCATGGGCCATCAGTTTGAAAGGCCTGTTTTAAGGACTAAAAATCATGCTTGGATTTTAGCAGAAAGGATTTTCAACTCCTGAACAGAACCTCCCAGGGTTTCCCCTTCAAGGTATCTCACACTCCTCACCTGGGACGCCATCCATTTAAGGACCCACATGATTGTTTGATGGCTGCAACCAGGAATGTCATGATTGCAGTTGTTGAGCAAAGCAGTCATATATGTCTTGTTTAACAACTGTTTCACTCAACAACCAAGGGCAATCCAAGATTCCGAGCTCATCAAATATTATCTATAATTATAAAAATATGTAAATATGTGACTGTTACTTTTACTTTCAATATACTTATTTGTTTGCACTATGGTGCATAAATTGTTTTTGATTTTTGAAAAGCTGCAGAAAATAAGTTTTCTCTGTATGTAGCATGTCAGAAATTAGAGGGAACATCGCTTTTATGTTTTGAGTATTGACTAAATTGACATGATCATACTATATGATGCCCAGTGTTATATGAATCCTGCCTGCCAATATAATTATATATCTAAACTGCCTCCTGTCCCCAGGAGCTGCAGTCCCCACCTATACCAACCTTCCCTGTTAATCTGGAATTCCCATACAATATCTTGACTGAGAATATGTAGAAGTAAGCCAGCCCATCTGGAAGACACCAGATTTAGAATTCTACAGGGTAAACTTTTGTGTGTGTGTATGTGTGAATCAGTGGCTTCCCAGGGAGTAGGAAGGACAACATGAAGGTGAGCAGATCAGGGGTGAAATGCTCCGAAGTCTGCTACCGGTTCGCTTCGCTATCGGTTCATTGCGTGTGTGTATGCATGGTGTGCACCAAATGCATGCTTTGTGCGCTTGCACACTGCAGGCACTACCGTGCAGCGGTGAAAAAGGAGGATTAAAAAGCTTTTTCTAAGGTAAGCAGAACAAGGGTGGGAACAGCTGTTCCAGGCAATTTAGATTCGCTAGAAAGCAGGATTTCCTTCTTTCTAGTGAATATAAATCACATTGCATAGTGATTGTTGGAAATACCAGTTCGTCTGAACTGGTAGCATTTTTTTTACTACCAGTTCGCCCAAACTAGTCCAAACCAGTAGCATTTCACCCCGGAGCAGATGGAGAAAATAGATACGGCCTTTTTGGTGAGCATGCTCTGGACTCTGCCAATTAAATAGTGACATCTTAAAAGACCTTTTCAGTTACAGCCCCTGCCCCTGGGACTGACATCCCTCCAGCAATCTGTACATTTCCCACTATTGTTGCTGTTGTTGTCATAACCATCATCATCATCATCATCATCATCACTTTAGCATTGTCTATCCAATGAAGGATGAAGGCCTCTTCTGTGTGTTTCCAACCAATACGGTCCTGAGCTTTGTTTTGCCAATTGGGCCCACAACACTTGCTGATATTGTTGATCCTTCTTGTTTTAGGTCTCTTTCGTGGATGCTTTTTATTAAATGGGATCCATTCTATGACTGCCTTGGTCCACCTGCCATCAGTTCTTCTTGCTATGTGACCAGCCCATTTCCATTACAATTCTTTTATTCTCTTGATATCATATATTTTTGTTTGTTCTCTAATCCATGTGTAGGTCTTTTTCTCTTGTCATATAATGCCGAGCATATATCTTTCCATGGCTCTTTGCGCCACTCATAGCTTTCGTATCGATTGTGAGGTTAGTGTCCATGTTTCACCAGCATATGTTACAGCAGATAGCATACACTGATCGAAAACATTTCTCTTCAGGCACAGAGGGAGGTTGTTATTGAAAATTATGCTTAGCTTGCAAATGCCTACCAACTACATTTAACATGCCGTTCAATTTCCTTTATTGTATCACCTTCCATTGAGATCCATTGGCCAAGGTATAAGTAGTGGTCTACTATGTCTAATTCTACTCCAGATATTAAAAAAATTCTTTTCTTTGGTGAATTTATTAAAAATAAGCAGGTTTATTTTTAAGCCAAATGGTT